CTCAATACATGTAAAAATGGTCACACATTATAGCCACTTTTCAAGAAAATTATAGGTTAAGCCGACCAGATTATCTAAGCGATTACTCATTCACTCTATATAATTCGTTTGGAAAGAAAGGGAACCGCAGCGCTAATCGTAAGCTTTGTCATTAGGCGGCAAGAGACTTACCGCACTTTAGTGCAACCACCACCTGCATATTCGGGGGAAGAAGAAAAAGGGAGAAACGATGTTTGAATAATAAAACGAAGTTAGAAAGAAGAATAGGAGGTAGATTGTAAGTGAAATTTTAACGACTGAGGAAGAAAATTGTTGCCAGAACTACTGGGGTTGCAGGTGGCTGAAGTCAGAACTGATAAAATGTACCTCGCGTTCCAGAAAACACCTTTTTGATGCAAACAGCCAGCTAAAAGAGTCGCTAATTGTCATCTTAGTCAACAAACCTCCCAACAAATGGCGATTTGGCGCCATCGGAAAGGGTGCTAATTACGATGTAAGGTTTTCTTAGCCGACATTCTATGAATGTCGTAAACTGTTCAAATCACAGGGCTGACCAACAATTTATAAAAATTGTACATATCAACCATCAATTTCTGGGAAGACGTATGGCGCTGACCATATGTTCAGTACAGATGCTAAGCAATCAAAAAGATGTTTGAAGTTCATAGAACGTGTATATATGATTGAGCAAGCGGTTTCATTAAAGAATATCATGTTTTCTATCTGCTGCAAAAAATTAGGCACATTTTTACTTAAAGTTACATCATCATTGGCGCTTTTTTCGAGAAGTGCAATAGAAATAAGGTTCTCTCTAGCTAGTCCTTTTAGTTTCATAGAACATGCTTTTGCGTTCAATAAACACTGCTTCGAAAAGCTTGGATGAAAAATGCAAAGTGAATCGTATTTCAGTCTCAGTCTCGATCCCAGCAAACATTTGTGGCTTTTATCAAAAAGAATCCTGTCTTCCAACTAAGGAAACCAATTACAAAATATGACTTATGGCAAGAGTCATAAACAATCGGGTTGGCGTTTTATTACCCCTTTTCTTAGAGTTCTCATCGTGCTGTTCTAACTGAAGGTAACCGCGATGCAACGAAGAAAAATTGCAGCAAAAATCCATGGACTAAGTAGTACTGAAGATTAGATTGGCTGAGTGCGTAACAAATGCAAACTTTATCACTTTCATGTTTGGAGCAATAAGGGGGCAAGAATGGTTCAGATAAGAAATTGGAAATGGTACTAAACGATGAACGGAAATGCGAGATGTGAGAGCAACGGAGTGCCAAAAACAGCAATAGATAATGAAATAGTGCATTCACGATATGCGATACCCTTGACAGACTGGCTAGGATTAGCTACGAGTGACATACATGGCTGCACAACAAAAGCTGGCAAGAATCTACAGTTTCCGCTATAAATCAGCGTTTGTACTAATAAAGATAAGGGACCAAAAACATTAGGCATTCTGACTGATCATGATGTAATCTTGCTTTTGCAGCGATCCAGAAAACCTTTGAATAACTTGGAGAAAACTGTATAGGTTCAGATGGTGATATGCTCTTTAGTTTGCCTTAGCCTATACCATCCAATAACTTCTTTGTCATTTCGTCAACGTCATAGTCACTAGGTTACTACGTGAATTTGAAGCCAGCGTAGAGGCAAGATCTATGCTATTATGAGCGCCTAGTCCACAAGAAAATACTAGTAGTAGGACATCCGATTGGTCTGTTCCTCCAATATGGACTCCATATAGAAAATATGGACCTGAAACCCGCGAAAGTACTATCAAACCACGCTTTCTCTATCAAACTTCGCCCGCCCGAGTACTGGATGACCTTTGGTGGATGCTGCATTTACGATGTTCGAGTTCGTATCGGAATCGCTGGAGCAGAAAACTGACGTGAATCTTTCTTCAATCATTTCAGAACTAGTCCGGAGTTTGGGCTATTGCAACTTGATTGGGTAATGGAAGTCTCACCAGCATTTGGACTCAAAGATTCGTAATCGAATTTAAGAAATGAAGTGTGAATTATAAATTTAGGAAAGAAGAACTTTCAGATTTTTAAACTGCAAGATTTGTCCCAAATCAGAAAATCGATAGACTATCAGATGACTAAATACATATTTCAGAGAGTGTGACTATTCGTTCAAAAGATAGAGACCATCTCATTACTTCCAAGTAACTTGTGAGGTTTCTTTGAGTATGCAGAACTAAATGTAATGATATTCGATATACATATGTGCAAAGTTTACACAAAAGATTTTGAATGGTTCAAATTTGGAAGACAAGAATTAAGAGAAGAAAACTTTTGTTAAAATCTTGAAATGGTACACTTTACTGGCAGAAATAAAGCTGTCGCACGGAATTTGCACTGATGGGGGATGATTCATTGCTTGTGGCATAAAAACCACTCGTTGTTTCCCTGGTGATTGAATTTGAAATCACGGAAGCAAAAAATAGAGTTGGTGGCATTCGACTACTTTGCAAGACGATTTTGGAGTAATTTAGGAGAAGAAGTAAGTTAAATGCGCCACTTATAAACATTCATTACACTAATCAGCCTTTGAGCCTTCAGTTTCTAGCAATTCTCAGGAGTCATACAGCCAAAATCTACGGCATCAACAAGGCAATTTGGCGCCACCAACTGCTCGTTAACTGCGATGTCATTCTTTCCTTTCCCAATGTCTAATTGCTGTCAAACTAGCTAAACCACATCAACCGGCAAATTTTGAAACCTTTGGCGACGTCCATATGTCGCGCACAGATGCTATACAGACGAAAAGAGTAGCATTTGACGTCAGTTCTCATGTGTAATTTTGCAGATCTGCTTGGATCGCAGAAAATTTCAGTCATCGAATGATCAGAATTGTTAGATTACTGTTTGCCAGGATCCGAACGAATAATCCTCCCTGAAAGCACCCCCAGCATTCTCTCAAAAAAAAGTGTTACTTTCGTGAAACCATCGAATGTAGCCCTTAAATCAATTGTCGTGCCAAGCTACCGTATAGCTACCGTATACTACCAATTTGCTGTTTACGGTAGAGTCTAAACTTTTTATTCAGCTGCGTTTCAAAACAATTAGTAGAAATCAAGACAGACGGAAGAAGAGACGCTTCAGATGGTTCGCAAATTTTTTTTCAAGCATCCTAAATGGTTACCATGCGATATATAGACGCCATATTAGGTTTTATTAGCTAAAGGCGCTTAAGGCACAGGCTTACTTCATGATTAGTAGAAAGCTTGAATCTCTAAAAAGCAGCTACATTGCGTAAAACCTTGGAGAATTGCAAAAATAGAGGACTTAGATGGTTTCTCCCTTTTTGTTTGGAGGAGGGTAGAAAGCCACAAAAAAAATTTCCGAATAAAGTTGCGCGGTGTTAGCCATGCATTCCAGAAATTGCTTGGGGTTCCTTCAAATTTTTTCTGGGCTCATAACCGTTTTTACGGAACTAACCTGCATTTTGGAAAGTATTATCAATTGATTCAATTATTTACAAAAATAAGCAACTCACTTGCACATTATTTTTATGACCTATGTAAGTAACTTTTTGAAATTTCGCGGCGCGATCTCGAGGGAGGGGGGAGGGGGCTGGTCCGCCACTACTGGGTGGAGAGAACTATAGCTTATTAAAATTACACCGGCAAAATCCAAACAATTCAACAGCTTGGTTTTGTGCCTTGGTTTTGATTCTACGTGTCATACCGACTAAATTATAATGGCATGATAGAATAGGTGACACAATGGTTTAGAGAGGACTTTAACGTCAAAAATTACGGCAGTTTCCCAAGCACAAGGCAATTTTCTGCTTTGAACACATATTTATCTCTTCTCACACGTAGTCAAAAATTCCCGTATTCAAACAAATGCAACCACTTATCCCGTGAATGCTAGGTTCTTAGCGGATGATTTACAAAGCCACAAATATTTCATTTGCTTACGGTAAGGGACTAATCGCGCGTGGGAAAACAAGCATGAGCGTTGTGCATTGTGAATGGGACAGCATTAGTCGTCATATACGAGAAGACTATCCATGCTGCTTTTGGTCAGCATCCCGAAAATCGACAAAACGTCCATTTTCAAAATTGTCAAACATTAAACGAAATTCTAAGAAACTTGGCTTTCAAAAACCCTGGTACTATGTTATAATCATAAATGAGGTATATTATTTCAAATTTCAATAGTGCCAGATGAAAAACACTGAATTTAAGATTGGAGGGTTCAGAATGTATGGTTTACACTCTGACATGGGGACTGAATCTATCGTTAGTGAAGAATTTTTAGCTTAGACAAACACTTATACGGCAACTTCACTTATTCAGAATTCATATAATAATTTTACCAACTTACTGCTTGGACACATTAATAACGCATGTTGAACATAAGTTAGTAACTGTTCAAAATTTGTCTTGTAATAAGATTATTCATAGTGTTATTATGTTTGCCACATACATTTAATTTATTCACATTTACACATATATTTATCAAACTGTTAGTTCTGACTTAGATCGAGTATGGCTGGTCCAGCTAAGACCACGGAGCTATACATGCAGTATTTTCTACATACATATTAGCATTTATACATATATTAGCATTTACATTTATACACGTATCTATTAACCCGTTTTTCTAACGGACCTTGCGACATGAACCCGCGTTTAGCTGAGACTATGGATCTGCTATGCCAGATATCTCCTGAAAATGTTAAGCTCGGCATTCATAGTAGTTTCATAAAAGATGAATGTGATAAACGACATAATAGGTTAGAAGTCTTACATTGGCAAGCATTCGGAAAGGCTCTTGTCCTCAAAAACACTATCCCCTATTGTACAAAGTAGCATCTTAAAGTTTGTGAGTGACTGAGCCGTAGACCTCGCTGTTATGGCGGCAGATGATGGTTGTGTCGCTTTCTTTGCTTTTTTCTTGCCTTGAATGTGTACAATTTGGAAATAGAAATAAATAAGCATGAAATTACCTACCTCTAATTTTACAGGCTGCGCGTTAGACGGATCCCAATCCAGAGTCACGTCCGGCAGTTGTGGAAGATTTTGGAGAGACATGATGGTAAATTTGCGTCTGCTGTAACGTGCACCCGGGTCGGAAGCTATATGGGTTGGCAATTGCAGAAGATGCACCAAACGACGATGTCGAGTCCAGCGGTGATGTCGTCGTTGACTTTGATGAAGAAGAAAGGCAATATGTAAGCGGAAGTGTTTGTTCCCATGGCATATCGTATCTGGAACGCAAATGCACTTTACTTGAGCTTTTCCATAAATCCCCCACAATGGTCGGTCGCCTCATCGTGGCGTGGGGGTGACACTGGGTGTCGAACTGCGATGCACAGCCGAGTGTATACTCTGGCAGGGCCTCCCAAGCTGTGAAGGAGTTCGACGTTTCCGGTTTCGGCCGGATGCCTAGCTAAGAACTGGCCGCGCCAGATTCTCCGCCGTCTGGCTTCTTCTGGTCGCTAGGCGGTCCCTCCCCGCTCCAAGCCCGGGGTCAGCGATCACCCCGTGGAAATCAAGAGTAGGCCTAGTAAGCCACCTCTTGTAGGGGAACAAATTTTATTACTCAGACAGCAAGAAGATTTAGAAAAAACCCTGTGCATCGGATCCCGCCTACGGCGCCGGGTGGTAGCAAGAACGATGTCAGGGTACTCAGGGCGCCTTTCGGATTGGACAAAAACGACACGTCTGCCCGGACGACACGCCATGGAGACTGCCTCATGCTCTGCACTTACAACGCCAGGACAGTCTCCACATCTCCACATCAGCATCATCAACTGCTATTCTCCAACATCAGCAGCTAACGAATCAGAACTAGATGCTTTCTACGAAGATGTGGAGGAGGTCGTCCGCAACGAGAAGTCCTTTTACAAGTTTGTTGTGGGCGACTTCAACGCGAAAATCGGGATGCCACTGGAAAGGGAATATAGGATCGGGAAGTTTGGATATGGGCTCCGGAACGAAAACGGCAACCGTCTTGTTGGGCTTCTCTCCGCCGCACGACTTTTCCATGGAAATTCCATCTTTATGAAGAAGGAACATCGCCGGTGGACATGGGAATCGCCCAACGGAACGACCCACGCGGAGATCGACCACATTCTCACCAACCGAAGGTGGAGCTTACTCGATGTCTCTGTAGTTCCATCCTTCTGTAGTGGCTCCGATCACCGCCTCCTTCGAGCGAAGATACGACTCAGCCGAAGGCTGGAAAAGAAAGTCTGTCATAGTGCCGCGAGAAGGAAGGAAGTCGTTTATGACGGTAACAGGCTGGAAGAGCTCATATCAAGTTGTGACTGGCCCATCGAGGAGGACCCAACGCACGACTACGACCGGCTTCTGAAAGGATTGCGAGCCTGCGGAGAATGCGCCTCAGTGACTTCTGAGAAGAACTTGGACCGCATCTCGAAGACCACCAAGGAATTGCTCGAAAGAAGAAGATCATTGAGGCAGGATCCGAATGCAACTCATCTCGAGCGACTGATTGCCAACACCAATTGCAGAACAGCTTTGCAAGAGGATCTCAGGAAGTACAGGCAAGCCAAGATACTGGAAGCAGCAGAAAGAAGACCAAGTCTCAAGAAGTGCCGAAGGGACCTCTGCGAATATCACGTACCGCTGGCTGCACTACTGAACGAAGACGGGACTCCGACTTCTTCCCGATACAAGATGGAATCTATCGCGAAGAACTTCTACACCAACCTCTTCCGCTCATCAACACCCGTGCAGATGCCCGTTGTTCCCACTGGAGAAGTACCACCACGAATTCTACCTGCTGAAGTGCGTATCGCGATACAGACCATGAAGACGTCCACGGCTCCAGGACCAGATCATCTTTCCGTCGAACTTCTGCGAGCCGGAGGACAACGTCTACACGAGATTCTCGCGTCGCACCTGACATCTTACCTTCAGAAGGAGAGGATTCCCGACCAGTGGAGAACGTCAAGAACCGTCCTTCTTTTTAAGAAGGGTGAACGGGAAGATCTTCGAAATTACCGTCCAATATGCTTGCTGAGTGTGCTGTACAAGCTTTTCACGAAGATTATCCTCGCTCGCATATCAAGGACACTGGATGAAGCCCAACCCCAAGAACAAGCTGGATTTCGCAAAGGATTCAGCTGCATGGACCACATCCAGACCGTTTCGAGGGTCATAGAAGTCTGCCGGGAGTACCGACTGCCTCTCGTCCTAACCTTTGTCGACTACGAGAAAGCCTTTGACAGCGTCGAAACCAACGCCATCCTGTCTGCGCTAGTCGATCAAGGAGTGGACCCAGCTTACGTGAGGACACTAGCCGACTGCTACAAGGACTGTACAACGACGATGCAGCTATTCCATCGCCCCCTGAATATACCAATCGGGAAGGGGGTCCGACAAGGCGACACAATCTCGCCGAAGCTGTTCACCGCGGCCTTGCAGTGGGTGATGAAGTCACTGGACTGGGACGAGAGAGGCATACGAGTTGATGGGAGATTCCTGTCCAACCTTCGTTTTGCGGACGACATCGTTCTCTTCTCGAGCAGTATCACCGAAGCAGAGACGATGCTGAAGGAACTAAACGAAGTAGGGAAGAAGATCGGACTGCGAATAAATCGGAAGAAGACTCAGTTCATGAAGAACGCCCTTTGCGAAGATGCAGAAATGGAATTGGAAGGCACCCCGATTATGGAGACGTCTTCCTACGTGTATCTCGGACGTTCGATGAACATGGAGAACGACTTGAGGGAAGAACTCAACAGGAGAAGAAGAGCAGCCTGGGCCGCCTTCGGGCCCCTGAAGGAAGCCACCGACCAACTGACGGACCCGGAGCTTCGTGCCCACCTGTTCGACTCAACCGTTCTCCCGGCGCTCTGTTACGCAGCTGAGACTTGGGCCGACACTGTAGCCACGTCGAAAGCTCTACGGACCACCCACAGAGCGCTCGAGCGCAGTCTTCTGAAGATGACCCGACGCAAGCAACATCTAGTCGGACTTCGCAGCACGGATATGAGAAGAATGTCCCGTCTTCGTGACCCAGCGGAATACGTCGCGAAAGCCAAACACCGATGGGCCGGTCACATAATGAGAAGAACAGACGACAGATGGACACTAAGAACATCGGAGTGGATTCCTCGCGAAGCCAAACGTCCCCGAGGAAGACCTCCAACGAGATGGGCAGACGTGTTCGTGGAACGGATGGACCAGCTGAGAAATCAGCTGGATACGATTTTTGCACCTGGAACTCGTGGACGCAGCCACCGACGTCAGCCAAGAAGATCGTGGATGTCAGAAGCGAGGGACAGGGAAAAATGGAAACTTCTGAGCTGGGGCCCGCACGTCACGTGAAGCCGGGCCATCTAAGTATCTAAGTAAGTTTCCATAAATGGGTAAAACTTAAAGTGTGACGCCTATTAGTCAACAAACTGCATATTTCATCAACGTGCAAGTGATATATTACTCTACTATTTGAATGTGCAATTTATGCATGACAACTATACACCAGGCTGAAGGAATGTCCGGCTCACCTATTCTCTTCCTCTGAGATTTTGCAGTTTGGTGGAGAATATGGCTGACAGCGCGTCTTTACCGTAATCTGCCGATGAGACCTAGAAGAAATATTAGAAGAAATACCCTAGGAATAAGGAAGAAAGCTCTGTTACTGAAATGAACCTTCACAAACCTTTTCTGTCCAAGAAGAGCAACAAGTGCACAAGCAAAACTCATCGAAGTCAAAACAGAGATCGCTGCCAGTGTCAACACAGAAGCTTGCAAAATGTTCTCGTCACTCTTTAATCGGGAAAAAATCGAAGTTGAAGAGGCTGACGATGGATCCTCTGGTATCTAAAACTGATCAATGAGAAACCGCATACATTTTACGGTGAAAAGGGTGAAAACGTGAATAGTAAAAGCCCTTATTGAGCGGAGCATCGAATATTTGAAAGAGCCATTGACACTTACGCAAGTGCTAAGGAGCATATTGTAGCTTTAATTCTGAGGAAAAGTTAATTAGAAAGCTAAGATTTTGTTGTAAGGGATGATGAGATGGTCGTAAAAGAAATATCAAAAGAAGTAAGTGTGAGACTCCTCGTACTGATCAATGAGAACACGTAATTTGTATTCGCCATGGTTATAAGGAATAACTTATTACAATAAGGGCCACTGACTTACCCTCTGTTCGATGAGCGCCACATCCGATGGGTCCGGGCACCATGGACATCTCTCCGTATGCTTCTCCCCTGCCACAGTGGCGTTAAAACATCTGGCCCGAATTTCAATCAGCCTTTTGCCCAGTTCCTCTTCTGGCATTGGGGTGGTCGTGACTGTCGCCTGGCGTCGCCTCCGTTCCTACGAAAGAGTTAACTCACAACTGTGTGTAGTACCGTATGCCCTTTAAGCTACATAGCTTAATAGTGTTAGAAATACAAAGCTCACCAAGAATTCGTCGATTCCATCCGGAAAGGCCCGAACTAACGCGGTATGGTCACAGACTCGTGGAAATCCATAGAGCGGATCGGTGCCAACCACCTGGCACCTGAGCTTCAGATCTTTCGGCTTACCTTTTGCCCAATGGGACACGAATGAGCGCGAGGTATCCTGAAGTAGAATAGTAGATGGTAATTTCACTGTATAAAATACAGGGCTATAGAGAATTCTGTGTTCAAGCTATGTTGGATTTTACAGGTAAGACTTTTTGGCATGTTTTCTACTTTCTACTGGACTTGTTCAAGCAAAAAGCGAGTTCGATACATATTTATCGAAAACTCTTCGGCTTCTCTTTTTTCTCCAGATCCCTGACCCTAAGCATGATCGTTGGGCTGACCGTTTATGGACATTAGAATAGGTAAGCGACGCAAATAAACACTCAGTGAGTAGAGAGGAAAAAGAATGTGAATAGAATGCGGGAAAACAACGTTGGCGAGCACTTTACTAAAAAAAAAATTATGAATTATAAATTATGGAATTCTTTGAAACTTGTGAATGGCATTTCAAAATTATGCGCAGTAAACAGAAAATCGATAGCTTCATCAAAATGGCAGAAGAGAAGGGAGTGCAATCTAGAAAAAAGTCATAAAGTTACCTGCACAAAATGCTCGGAGATAGTCCAACTGATAGAGATCTCCTCAGTTAGTGGGAGCAAATCACCAATTATCTGGAAGCGATCATTCTTAAATGTGTCAGGTACATTTAGAAATCAACACACAAATATGTCAAGAAATTTACCTCAAATCTGGGGTGAGAACAACCGGCAGTAGTTAAACATCCCTCACTCCAGTCCACCCTCAGCAAATCGGCGGTCATCCAAAATGATTCCGCTATTATGCCAGGTAAAAGGAGCAACATTTGCAACATCTATGAAATGTCTATTATCAAAATGTGTTAATCTTCGACTATATCATGGACCATAATAACGAAGAGCATCAGTGGTGGAAGAGCATGGGGCGGAGCCGACAGCCGCCTTCCAGCTCTCCTAATTATGAATGCACGCAAAACGAGAAAAAGCTTAATTCAGCGGATAATCTTTGCCGAGATTAAAGGTGAACAGAAAGATTATTGATGTTGCAAAGACATGGAGATAAGAGGGTCTTATGCACAAAAGAGAGATGACTAACGTTGAGGCATATCTATCTTCAAAAAATTGAGTTAACTACCATATCTTCTCGCATAAAGCGAACTCTAAAAACAGAGTGCCTTACGAATTCGGATCTACATCCGAAATCATTTACGATATCCACACCTCCGTAAATTAGAGCTATATGGATGTGACGAGTACCTATGAAGGCAAGTGAAGTATAAGTAGCACTTGCTAAGGTTAACTAAGCTCTGCAACTGTCAACAACAAACAAACCGATAAGGTAACGCACGCGTCGGCTGATAATCTATTACGGGGTATTAAGCGGACCATCGTATCTGGCAGGGGCATTATTACGCTTCAGTGTCAAATTGGTTTACCTTATAAACCCACAACCTGTCTACCGTACTTAAACGTTGAAAAGATATCTGGACGTACTTGAAAGTCATGTGGATACAATATATGGAGTAAACCAGATGTTGTCCTGATCATCAAATATTGGGTTGCTACAAAATTCAAAATCTTTGTAGTGGTGCAGTTTCTCCCGAAATCATATTTCCCAGCTACGAGGAGAAATTCTAGGTCTGTGGGAAATCTTCATTTTTTCTGATGTCTGGATTCCGTCTGCAGAGCAGTAATGCAGATAAATCCAGACATGCAGAAAGACAAGAAGTATTAGGAAGGTCCGAAAGTTTTGTCGGTTTCTTACATCGCTCACTAAAACTCACAGAACACCAATCCATAAACGGCTTAGGCACCATTTGATTCAGATTTTTATTCTCTTTCTTAAAGTTGTACTTGCTTTCTGATCTACCCAGTCTTTGCAATCTTATCGCCATAGCTTTTGAGCAGCTCAGCGGTAACGCCAAATCTTTCCCGAATTTTAAAATTTTTTTAATCTGAAGTTCTTAAAGAGCACTGGTGACTGTTATGTAGAGCAAACCTTTGGCTACATAGTGTCCATTTTAAATTACATGAGTCGCGTTTACCAGTTCGTTATAATTATTTATTCAATAAAAATCGCGGCTTTGTGAATAAGTTTAACACGTAAAAATACCGAAAATTCCAAAAAGCTGCTCTTCGAAAGCAAATTAAACTTATGCTGCATAAATGATATTTACTATGAATCATGTCTCAATTCGCGAAACTTCAAAAGCTTTCGTGTGTGTTTTGTGCAGTTGCGTGTTTTATGACTTTGCCAGAAATCAAGACCTCTAAAGAAATATCTTTTTAAGGCTAAACGCAGCAGATTAGGAGAATCTAAGATTATCATCTTATAGTACGAGAGTTGCTCTATTTGATCCATGCTTAATCCTATTCGAAACTTTGTAATGAAATTTTTAAAAAGTGGCCCAACTTTGAGCAGGTGAAATTGACGGGTGGAGAATTTTGGCAATTCTCAAAAAAATCGTACAAGATTGTGGTTCAAAAATGTATGCATAAGAAAGAGAAGGAAAAGTTGCATCAAATGCATGTAAAAACTCACTCGGGTCTTTATTGCGCGTGGTTTTATAATGGTTTGAAAAACCGACAAAACTTTCGGGACAACCTAATAAAATCCTTTTTAGGCCCATCTACAATGAACTGATTTTATGGTGGTAAATCAGACCTGCATTCACAAAATGCGAGACGAGTTTGTGAAAAAATCGCAAGTTATTTCTTTTTCTCCAACTAGCTTGAGTGCCTTATCAAGCGGTGAGATACAAAAAGAGCCTAAGGAGCTGAAAAAAAAGAGATTCAGCAATATTCCCACTCCTACGCTGGATTTCTTGATAATTGCTTTTACCTAACAAGTTGCTGCACTTTTGATTGTGAGAAACAATAAGAAAATGTCAACTGCCAGAAACTAACTCTACTTTCAGAAGTAGAAGTGATTGTGATTCTATGCAAAGACTCCAGTAAAAAAATTTGGCACAAGTACTGCTAATAAATATATAGCCAAGATGAAGTGTTAGTTGCAAGAAATTAGCTGGTTCAAAATGTTCAGGAACTGATGTAAGGGGCAAGAGATGCTCGCACCAAGCCTAATGCAAACGACCTTAACGCCAAACTAATTTGTTCTTTAGCTGCGTGACTGACGATAAACATCTTGTGCTAACTAGCTTCAAGGTGTTTCTCGTCATACTTACAGGTCTCAAGGTTGTCCTTGCAGTTTGATCTTTCGAAGATAGTAGAGAATGCATAGAGCGCATTGAGAAAATGTAGAAAATGTTTCGAAGGGTCGTACTTCAGACTTGGTTGATTAAATGAAGATTAATAGTTTGTAGAATAGCTTTGAAGAGTTTGGAAATATATTCTGACTATTTGGCTTCCCCCGGTCCAGCCCGGGCCTTGTTCCGTTCACCTGCACTGCAAGCCCCCCCCCCCGCCCTATATGGTATGGATGACTTACCCTGGGACATCCGCTTGGAAACCGCATCCTCGTGATCCCGTTGTGAAAAGGAGCTTCACCGCCCTCCTTTCACGATTATGGGAAAATGCTTGATTCAACATGATAAGCCTTCAGTTCCTTAGAAAAGCGTAAACAAATCAATAAATCCATAGAAGGACCCAACGAATCGCCGTAAAAAGTAGCCTATCATCTGCGCAAGTGTCGAAAACATATGTGTGTAAAGTTTCAGCGATATCGGTTGAGCGGTGCGCGTTTCTATAACGCACATACCCTCCAAACTGACAATTTTTGAGTTTTATATATATATATATATATATATATATATATATATATAACCGACAAAAGCGATTGCCCAGTTTGATTTCTTTAAGTGGCAGTGTTCAAATGAAACTCAATGAATTTGAGAACGGTGGTTTTTCGGAAGAGTTATTATTACGAGCCAAGCACTCTATAGCGATCACTTTTAAGCGCAGTAGCTTATCAGGATGCTCAGCATGCGTTCCAGATTTGACCAAAAATAGTGTAAACTTAAACACAAGCGGTCACTAAACGAAAGTCTGAGAAGGCACATAGCAAACAGATAGAGAAAAGGATTTGTAATGCTAATATAATGGGGATATTAGATAGCTTCAAAAAAATTTTCACATAAAAATTTCGTAGAAAGAACAAGAAGCACGAAAAATGTGTGAAGTCTGCGTGTATTCGGCAAGCAAGAGGATATTGTATCCGGTCGTGAACGTTCTCGAAGAAAAAGCAACGATATTGTAACGGGCGTGAAGTATGGCCACATATCACTGAGTGGAAGATAAATAAATGCTGCTGGCTAGCTAAGCATATCTTCAAGCACTGTCGCTTGCACTTTTAGCATTGCTTTCATTGCCTGGCTCATCGTTTGTGCACTTCCTAAAGTCTACTTCTGCCAAGGTGCACTGAGAAAATTCGCTCTGCAAGAAATGAAAAGAAACGACTAAACAATTTTCGATGGAGGAAGAGCAAATAAATATTGCGGACAGAGCCACAATGAAAAAAGTTGAGAAAAATACAATAGGTCTTTCATCCATAAAGTGTAACGAATATGATTGTAGAGATCAAGTTGGCAAAAAACTTTTCATATAGCCGATTTGATTGCTTTCATTTTCAAGGATATAACATTACGCCGCAAACAAGGACTTCCCAAAAGAGGATTTCTGAAGTATGGTTAGGTCACGAACCGACAACGAATTTTTGCTCCTCACCGCTGGAAAATTTTCTGCGGGATGAGGGAGAGGGGGAGAGAAAGTGGGCAACAATTTGCAAGTAGCCTAGATACAAAAGCGAGTAAAAGGCAGCTGATTTGAAGAAAAGAGCAGACATGCTGCTGTCGTCAACAAAAGGGGTTTTCGAACAGAACAGGAGATTACTGAATTCTAGCTGCCTGAGAAAAAGAGATTAATTGCCTGATATACGAAAGCTGACGAGGCTGGTTAAAGGACATTAAAATCAGATCATCAGACATCAGATCGAGGATGAGGTAGAGCATGTAGCTACGAACAGGTTGTCGAATAGAAAAATATCGATGTGTGCTGGACGATAATCTAAATTAGAGGCCGCTTCAGGTATGAAGGAGTGAATAATCATTGATTTGATCTAACTTTTGCATACTAAGCCAGAGCACACTACTAGAATCGGAAATGGTGTATAAAGATGTAAATTGCAGGAGAATGTGAAAATACTTCCGTTAGAAATAGTCAACAGTCCGGCCAAACGGTTTTTCCGAATCTAATCTTCTAACCCTTGAAGCCTTTTGGATATTCTCCGGTCAACCTGGGAATACACAAGTTTTTTGAAAAATTTAGAAATCGCTTGCTTCAAAAGTTTATTAACTTATTCCTCGCTGCTGATGCTGCCGTCCTCTATAGCGGTAGATCAAAGCAAAAGAATTTCTTATTCATAAAGCAAGAATTTACAAGAATTACCACTGAGTTTAGCAAAAGTTTCGTTTTGAAATTCTCGTAAAATTCCCATGAGTAGCACTTCAAATAGGCATGGCTATCATCAGTCAGAATGTGGCGAAAGCGGAACGGCTGACAAATCGCTTTAGGCTACTGGGCGATGATTGCTTGGAAGACTCCCAGGAGAAGCACAGCATAGGGGAATAGAACTGCTAAAACTTGAAAAAAAATGTGATATCAGTGGTACGCTGTGCAGAGAAGAAAAATATGCCGAGAAGTGGAAACACAAGCATGTTCTTCTTCCAGTACATTACACATTAAGTATTTCTTACACGGGTTCTGCAGCTGTTAATCATGCAGAACAACGGCTGCAGCTAAATGGGCAAAGCAAGTGGCACAGCTGGGCGAAGTTGATGTGAGAAGGAAAAACAGTGAAGGGTTTACTAAGGTTGAAATA